GATTGATTTGCACTTTTTCCTTTAATCATATTGTTTTATGTATTGTACCAAAAAAAATATTGTTTTATGTAATATTTAGTGTTAAAAACAAAATTTATTTTTAAAATATTTCATATAAATTAAATAATAAAATATAATAAATATACTTTTAATTTACCCTTGTAAAAGTATATATCAAAAAACCTTTTGATTTAATTTTGTGTTGGAGTAACGTGTTACAGACGGCCTGTTTTAATATGCCTTACATTTGACTTTTATTGTTAATCAAAGGTTGTTTGAGATTAAGAGACTGGAGAGGACGAGAAGAACGGAAAAAAGTTTTTTTTTCAAGTTATAAAAGAATTTAAAGGGAGGGGAAGAGAAAATTGTTTCTTTCTTTGATTGTTTTTTAATTTGGTTATTTATTTAAATGAGAAAAAAAGGGGAAGAGAAATAAAAGGAAATAAATGAATATAATTTTTTTTTCTTTTCCTTTTTTTTTCCCTCTTTTCCTTTTTTTTCCCTCTTTTCCTTTTAACCTAAATATAAGGTTACACACCAAATTATTTATCTTTTTTAGGCAAAAATGCTTTTTATGCTCCTAACTTTACCCTAAATTAGCATTTAGATCTTTAAACTAAAAATGGTGCAAATAAGTCCTCTAACTCCTCAACTGGTGCAGATAAGCCCTCCAATTTTGTGTTTTGTTAAACTTGTAGCAGAAGTACCAACACTTGTATTGTTGTGTTGATACTCCAAGTAGTTTTAAATTTTAAAAACTGATATTTCTAACTTAGTCCTATATATATATATATATTTGGAACTTCCATCTATCTCGATTAATCTAGAGTTGATGTGGTTTAGACTTCATAAGAGAAAAACTCTTTTACTATTTATCTTTTCAGTTATAAGATTTGAACTTGAAACTTTATTTAAAAGAAATTGAGTGCCTTTCACTTAAACTCACAAGTCGTTGGTAATTCAGTTTTATTTTTCTAATAGAGTTTTCTTAAAATAAATCGGAATCTGGAGTTTAATTGTAAAACGCTTACATATCTCATTTTCATTGACAAAAGTTGGAGATACCACATACATTATTCATGATTCATACATTATAAAAGAAGATAAAGAACCTAAAGTTCATAATTCATGGCATTTTTTAATATATATATAACAAAACTCTACTAAATGTCATAGATTAAATTCTAAATTTTATTAAAATACATAATAGAAAATTACCAAAACAAACATAATAAAAAAAGCCATTTACATCTACATGGAATAGTGCTGCTTCAATATTTACATTTGTTGAGGGATGAGTTTATATCATTTTAAAATTGACAACGTGTGCAACGCCACATCAACAATGGCCCACATAATCTATTTTCCATATCAAACATGTTGTTTTTATTTTTTTGTTGATTATTGTAATTGAGTCAGCATTGCCAGGAGTGGCGTTCATCAATTTCATTGCAAATATTGTAGATATAACTAGCTCTAGCATCAATTTTTATATATATGGCCAGACACGGCTATATCTATCTTTACGACATGGTTGGGCATTTTTTATGGTCATGTTCTCTATCGCAATATTCATAGCTACATCTTTTGGCTTTCAACAATGTACAAAGAGTCTACTTTGCTGCACATATATGGCCCCTTATCAATGGACAATGGGCTATATCTACACAGCTTTTAGCAATGAACAAAGGGTCAGACTTGCTATCTCATTTAACCTTCGGCAATGGGCAAAAGGTTACACATCTTTACATATTTCATTGCATTGGCTCTTGGCAACGGACAAAGGGTCGAATTTCTATATACTTCATCTCATTGGCTCCCGACAAACAGATAAAGAGTCAATACAACTCAGTACCATTAGCGTGAGGCTAGTAACAGTTACAAACCTGTGATTTGACGAGATATCTACCCTTCAACGATAAAAATCCATTAAGTAATGATTGGCAGCCCCTTGGTAATTGCCTGTGCATGGTGGTGTGATGCCCGACGGGCAACAACAACCAGGACTACCTTTTGATGATATAGGTACGACAAGAAAGGTCAGCATTTGTTAGTGGTATCACACTTTATCGTATCGGAAGCCATGGATGCGATTGGTGTCCCCTTTCATGGAGGCAACTCCACCTATCTCTATCACATATTCATTACTGTGGCAGAGTCTGGCTTGATGAGATTTACCTCTTCACGACTTGGTGGATTAGTGGGAGTGTTCTTTCGATTTCATATAATTTATGCTCCAACCATTGGCAAAGTTAGCCACTATTGCCCTTCTGGCTATGGGATAGCTATTCATGGCTGACCTTGTGATATATATACAACATGGTCGGCGGTCATGCGCATTATCATTCTTCTATACAAAGGAACAAAGTTACCGATCACTAATAATCCCAATTCACAACATATCTCTTTACATTTTTACATGTTAGCAAGTATTGCCGATTAGCAATGCTTGGCTCAAGATAATAATATCACAACACACATTCATACTACTCATTCTTTATTTTGGCGCAACGTCAGCTATGCATAGCAGCATTATATAAGCACTTGCCATAATTAGTGGACAAAGGGGCATGGCAATGTTTATTCTTGTCATCCCCTTCGATACACATAGGAGTATCCTTCTTTGCTACATTTATTCATTCATTTTACACTTGAATATTTAATCAAATACTCATTCATATCTTGCTCTTGTTGTAGATAAACACAAACCCATGAATCCAAGCTCATGGGAATTATTCGGGATAAACTATGAGAGTAGTGGCTTGGGAGACATGGATGGATGAACGTTGGCTTGGCAGACATGGATGGATGAACGTTGCCTGTCTGGCCAAGTGAGGCATTCATGCCAACCAAGCTTGGAGCTGGTGATGTTGCCCGACTTCGCCAAAAAGGGCTGAGTGGTGAAGATGTGGATATGGACTTGATCCCCAAAACTGTACCATTTGATACTAATTAAAAGCTTGAAATCTTGTTTAAAACTAACTAAAGATGTTGTTTTAGTCACCATCAATAACTTGTAGCTGTATTTAATGCAAAGGTGGTTGCACAAATTCCTTTGCATTGGCAATTGTTAAAAAAGACTACATTTTGTCTAGGAAATCAACCAAAATCTTGGGCAAATCTTGGGAAGCCTACCAAAATCTTGGACAGATCTTATTTTTGCTAGTTGTACTCAAGTATCTTCCCAAAAATGGAATTTCATATGATTGGAAGAATTATCAAAAATGGGTAGTCTCTAGTGCTTCGTTGGAACCAATAGTGCTTTGTTGAAATCACTGAATAATTCATAATATCACTGTCAACAAGCTATCAACAATGCCCAAAACCACTCAAAACTTAACAACTTACCCAAATCTATCCGTTGGAATGTTGGGTTACTCTGGCCCATCAACCCAAAAATTACAAAAATGCCACTGCACATATATATATATTATTTTTTCTTCATTTTTCAACAGATGAGAATAGATTCTACACACCCAACTTTCTTTCTCATTCACCAGTTTCCATTTTTCTTCTGAAAAATCCTTTATCTTCAACCTCTCATCCTACACACTGAAACCACCGAGAAATTACCATTTTCTTCATATTTTCTACATTTCCAACACTGTAGAACAATTTCTAGACTTGCAAAACATCATGGTTGAAAGGCAGCATGCTTCAGTTTCAGCTTCTGGGTAATTTTGCTTGAGCATCAAAGGATTAAGCTAAAAAGTTAGCATAAAAAATGGGATCAAGCCCTCCACTCACAAGGCTCCAAAACGATCATCTTTCTTTCTCCCACCACTACTTTCAAGTTTATTCTTTTGTTCTTGAGAAAGCTTCAAAGGAGGGGTTGTTGTATTTTTCATTGATACCATGAAAGTTGCTCGTTATAGAGTATGACTATTTGTTAGAGACAATAAAGGACACATTTATTGTCATTATTATTATGTTACAATATTTTATATATAAATATGCTTCTCAAGTTGTAATATTTGATCCTCATGTATTTTTTGTCCTTGTTGCTCCTGTTATGGTGTTCACCTTTTTTTCACTCTTTTTGGTAGTTGTGTAATCATTCTTGGCTCTTGGAATCCCATTGTCTTTGCTCAATTCTCTCCTCCT